TGCCTGCCCAGGCGGGTCTCGAACCCGCGGGCTCAGGCAATCCACTCACCTCAGCCTCCCAAAGGCGTGGAATTACAGGCTGAGCCACCGAGCCCGGCTGACTAAATATTTATAAACAGATGTTTTAATAGTCCTCAGATCCAGCCCAAACTGGGACATTCTTGGGACATGAATCCCCAGAACTTTGTCTTTTTTGCAAGCAGTTTTCAATGTTGTTCAAAGATTATCTTTACTTTGGGTACCATTAAGTTTACTGTTACTGCTTTTATTTATCCTATGCCTAGGAAGGAAGGAAGGGGCAGGGATTTCCCCCATTTTACACCATGAAAACCTGAGACAGGGAAGAAACTCAGTGTGTCCTGGTTGCTTGGCCAGTGGGAGAGCTGGCAGGCCCAGCCTGCGAGGTCAGGCACATGCAGACTTGAACAAGGTTCCCTGACCTGGACCACCAATGGCTTCCTCAGATGCCGGTTCCGCAATTTCCTGGGCTTTGGCAAGAAGAAATCCGACTGCATCTGTAAGGGAAACAGCACCCGACACCTGAAGAGGTGCTCTCCTCAAAAAAAGGAACACCCAGCACGCAAGGCAGTATGGCCCCACACTTACGCTGACTGAGTTCAGATGCTGACGGAAAGTCAACTCTGCTTCCTTACTGGGAGAGAAGAGCTTCCCGTGTCGGCTGTTCGGTGGCAGAGTTGTTGGGACAGCAAAAAGGCCACCATCTGAGTCACTGCCTCCTGTGCTAGAGGGACCAGCCACCAAGAGTGGTCTTGGAGGGTTTCTCAAAACTGGAAAAGGAGAAGAATAATCAGAGAGCCAGGAACACTCATGCAGTAATATCTTCAGAGTGAATGGAGTCTCTGGGGAAGAAAATCAGAATAGAATTCTCTTGGTGACCTGTTCAGTTGTCTTCAAAGGAATTTCCTACATTTCAGTCCCATAAAAAGTCTATCTTTCTCACTGAAATTCTCGATCCCATTTTGGGTAAAACATGGGTCTTCTGAATAGGACAAAATCACTTCAGCACTTCATTCAATGCTGGGGGTAGGAGGGCAGATAGGACAGGACATCAGAGACTTTTTGGAGCTAGGAGAGTTTTCAGTATCCTCTAGTGTAGACCAGAAGTCAGCAAACTTTCTCAGTAAAGGGCCCAAGAATCAGTGCTGGCTCTGTGGACCACATCCCGTCTAGGGCAACTCTACTTTGCACAGTAGCACACAAGCAGCTTAAGACAAGACATAAACAAAGGAGTGTGGCTGTGTGCCAAGAATGCTCTATTTACAAACAACAGGCAGAGGGCTAGATTTGGGCTGCAGGCTAGTTTGCTGATCCCTGGTCTAAATCTCTAGTTTTTAGAAAACAGACCCAGAGAATAAAGAATAGAAAATATTGATTGAAAAACTAGTACTGTGTGACTCTGCTAGTTGTTTTCATCATTGTAGGTGCTGCTACAATGGACCAGTCCCTCTGGGGTTTTTTTTTGTTTGTTTGTTTGTTTTGAGTCAGGGTCTTGCTTTTTTGGAGCCAGGCTGGAGTGCAGTGATATAATCACAGTTCACTGCAGCCTTCAACTCCTTCAGCTCAAGTGATCCTCCTGCATCGGCTTCCCAAGTAGCTAGGACTATAGGAGTGTGCCATCATACCTTGCCAATATTTAAAAAAATTTTTTTGTAGAGACAAGATCTCACTATGTTGCCCAAGCTGGTCTTGATCTCCTGCGTTCAAGCAATCCTCCTGCCTCTACCTCCCAGAGTGCTGGGATTACAGGTATGAGCCACCATGCCAGGCCCCTCTTTATTCTTTATCTACAAATCTGTGGGATTAAACTGACACTCACGGTTCCACAGACCAGGTCTTTTAAGCACTAGTGTGAACTTCCAGAACTGCAGATTTGTTGGTCTGTAAGCATACTCAATTCAAGGAAGAGGAAAGAGTACACAGAATTAAGGAATGTAAGAATCAGAATGGAAAGCAGAAGACTGACAAGACACCAGCTAGCTGCCATCAGTGAGCGTGCCTTTCTTTGCAAGGAGACAAGTGATTCAGAGTTTGTTGCCACCTTCTTCACCAGCCAACCACAGGAAGTAAACAGGAAAACAGGGAAGGGGAAAACAAAAAGCATCTTCAGGAGGATATGAACCTACCCAGCAGCAGCCTAAAGTTCCTCCAAAGCCACCAGGATAGACTCCCAAGGAAATGGAGTCTTCCAGCACTTAACAGGCCGGCCACTCACAGCAGAGTAAGTCAGAGAAAACAAAAAGCCAGTGACATTCTCGGAATGGAATATACTTTGGAGAGCCATTAATGACCAAGACAGTGCTTATCCAGCAAGTTCCTGCATAATTTGGCACACCTGTCTGACCTAGAGCTTGTCCTAACTTTGGGAGGCTGACCACCCAAGAATAGAGGCAAGGCTGCTTCCTGCATGATGCACACCAGTCATGAGGGTAGAGACCCTGGCTGACGCTGGACAGTTGTGGCATTCAGAATAGCACAGCATCTGCTGCAACAACATCTGCCTACAGCACCTGAGACAACACTCCTCGTGCTAAAGTATGAAGGAGGCCTTCCGGGCACAGGACAGAAAAAGGGTGCTGCAGTCCTTGGCCCCCAAGTCATCCCCTGCTTCCCGGTTGTCCTGACCTCATCAGGTCAGTCTTGGGAAGAGCTATGGGACTTCGCCTGGGCCAGAGGCATTGGAACAGTCATCTCCACCCACTGTGGTCCCTATCTCCTTTCCCGCTGGGAGAGGGCACATGCCTGGGGCACACAGGAGCATAGCCAGAGAAAGCATTCAAGTTTCTTATTTTACTTTAAAAATTCATGAAGAATTCACCATTCTAGCCCTGAGAATCTGTTTTATACTATGGGTTAAAAAAGCAAGTAAAGTTGGTGCCTCAGGGAAACAGGTCATGCTTATCCTGGGGTTTTATGTACCCAGGAACACAACTGATGAGGCTTGAATTTAAATGACTTCCTTCATACACCTGGGACTGGGTACACTGTGGACTGGCAGGTTAGGCAATCTTTTTTTCCTGGATTTGTGTTAACAGACTCAGAAAGAACCAACTTCTTGGTGGCTTTGAGCTACCAGTCCAGCACATTATGGAGGCTTCTGCTAGCCTTGTGAAGCAGACCCCAAAGTAACCAGCCTGGCAAAGGTGGGCTTCTGGCTGGCTCCTGTACCCTGTGACCTCAAAGCTGTTGATGACAGGCCCTGGTGCTCACCCTGCCAGTAGGAGGTGGTGATTTCTGAATCTTCCCCCTATTTGCTGGATCATGGTAGGCTGCACGGTGAGGCCAGACCTCAAGCACACCTGTGCCCTCAGCTTTGGCACGGTCCCTGAAGCCCTGTGCAACACCCAGGATTGCTAGTGGGCACTGTCAGGGTGGCCCAGACACAGGTGAGCATGGCAGCCCCACCTCACCTGAGGAGCATGGTGCAGAGCTGGGCGAGAATGTCTTGCTGCTGCGGAGGGTGGCCTGGTTCCGAGGGCAGCGGGGGCTGCGGGAGCTGATGGTAACCACCTTCCCTGGGGGTGTCATTGACTGCTCCTCCTGGGAAGGCCTCACCGAGGCTGTGGACATGGCATTTGCTTCTGGAGCCTGGAAAAGAAATGGGCCATACAATGTCCAAACTCCACGCATGAAAGGTGGCTCTGAAATGAGTTCTCTGGAGTAGGAGGTGAGAGGATGCCCTGGAGATCTAGACCATGGTGAAAGGCTCAGAAACCACACTTCTATGAGAGCAAAGGTCAGGGGTCAGACACACGTGACTTCAGTATGCCTTGAGGTCACCAGGCAGCTTGTCACTTTTAAAAATCACTGGTCAAATGAATAATAAACAAAACTATTCCCTCCCACATGAGGAACTTTCCGTGTCTACACTGCTTGTGCCGTGGTAGTTAGGATGGATAACAGTCCTATAGTGGAGGTGGGAGAGGGAGGAGTGGACAGGCCTGAAGCACCTGGTCTTGCCTACTCCAAGCAAGGGCTGTGGAAGGAGGCACTGGATGACAACAGCTAGTCTTCTAACAAAGCCGCATTACAAAGTCAGCCTGTGCCTAGCCTTTCCTACTTGTGAGTCAGAGGAAGGAATATGGATTTGCTTTCTAGAATCAAACCCAACCAGAGTCAGAGCACTCTGGAGTCGAATCGCCAACCTCAAGGATTTTGCAGGCCATGGGGTGGTTCCAGTCCCGTGCAGAGGCTGTTGTTGAGTCCTGGGGTCCCTGTGCTGGCTCACCACAGAGATGCCGCCATTGCTGGGAAGACGTGGCCAGCACCCAGCCTCTCAGCTCTCCTCCTCCCTACTCTCCCCTGTGAACGATGAAGCCCCGCACTATCCGACAGCCTCATCTACTCTGCTAGCTCAGCAGCTTGAGCCCCCAGCCCATGTCCCCTCTGCCCTCCCGAGGAACCCACTGGCCTTGTGTCCCTTGTGTCCTACCGCCTCCTTACACCCCTTGACTGAGCAGCTCGGCCAGCCTCCTTTATCTCTTGATCACTGGGGCTGGGCCACAAGCCTCTGGGGTACTTGCTTGTCACAGCTCCCCTGGCAAGGAGTGGTAGTGGGAGGGAAACCACAGGGCCCAGTGGCCCACCTCCCATCCAAGGTCTCAAAGTTCAGCTGGTGAGTCCCAAGTGTCCCTGGCACAGGCATGCGTGAACCTCACATGTAGGTCTGAATGTGGAATGGCGCCGACGGGTCCACGGTAACCAGCAGCTCTGGCCTCCCACACATGCCCTCCAGTGGCTCCTCCAGCAGCTTGCAGGTCCCCATGTGTGGCACATGACTCTTTAAGGATCAGCTTGCCTTAGGACCTTGCTCTTTTGTACCCAGAGACACTATTAGACTTACAGGGGCACAAGATGGGATTACTGCTGTCAGTGACATCTTCTGTACCCATTTGTGGGCTCTGCTAACCAGCCTCCCCATGGTAGGGGGCCCCTCCCCGGGCTCAGGAACCACCCAGAACAAGGAGCCTCTGGGGAAGTCCCAAACCACTTAAGCCAGCTGCCCTCGGAGGTCTCCCAGCTGCGCCCACACACCACAGGAACTGTCCTGTCCGGGCCGCCTCAGCTCCACTCCTCCATCTATACACCTCCTGTTCTTCTGTGACAGCCTCTGACCCAGTCACACATTGTCAGCACAGCAGCCAGGATGGTCTTTCTAGAGCAATAAGTTCACCTGCTGTTCCCTCTGCAGAAACCTGTAACAGCTGCTCAGATAAAGCCAGAATGCCAGCTTGGCTCCTGACCCCCTCACCCCTGCACATGTTATCCCCATGGGAACAAGACAAGGGTTCAAAGGGTACTGCCTTCTTCTTCCAAGCCCCATATAACAGAGCATCTGGCCCATGCATTGCTGTATTCCTGGCACTGTGGGAGTAACCCACAGGGAACCGGGAGCCCTCACCAAGTGCCCCAAGATCCTCACTTGAAGAAAAGAAACATGTTTGCATTGAGCCTCTGCTTCCTGGTCACCTGGGTCTAAGCCTCTCCTCTGCAGTCCTGCAGGCTCCTGGCCTCTGCTACAGGACCATGTCTTCCCTCTCTGGACCCGCACATGCTGGCAGACTCCAGACACCCAGCTGAGCTTTCCATGCTGGGCCCGGCTTCCCATGGAGCTGTGAGCAGGGCTGGACCCTGATCCACTTTGCTTACCAGCTTTGGGTTGACCTCGGTGGAGATGAGCTTCAGGAGGCAGCTGAGGAGGCGCTGCTTATGGAAGGCAGCGGGTGGAGAGCCAGGGCGAGGGTCCTGTCCCCGCCCTCCGGGGGCCTGGCCCTCAGGTCCCAACACGGTCAGCCAGTCGTACTCCAGCTGCAGCTTGTTCGGCTTGCCCATCATGAGGTAGACTTCGGCCAGTGTAAGGCTTTCGGAGGTCTGCAGGTTCCAGCCCTCCTCACGGAGCTGCTGGGCCAGCTGGCTAGCGGGAACCTCCTTTGGCGGCCTAGGGGCAGGCTGTCCCTGAGGCAGTAGAGGCTCTGAGGGGCTTCCCTTCTCCTGGGGCTCCTCTGTAGGTGCATCTGCCAAGTCTTTAGTGCAAACATCTGGCGGGAGCTTGGGGCCAGGGCTGAGCTGCGGGTCTGGGCCAGGTAGGGCGAGGTCAGCAGATTCCCTGCTGCTGGGACCGAGAGCCTCTGGGGAGGCTACCCCACCAGGAGGAGGGTGCTGTCTCCCAGGCCATGTGTCTGCACAGCGGCACTGTTCAGGGACAATGAGGTCCTGACAGGACTTCAGGTAGCGGGGAAAGGGGTCTAGCAGCGAGAGCTCATCCTCCAGGTCTGGGAACTGGCTGCAGGCACATGGCAACGTCCCCAGTTCCTGGGCGGGGCCATCCCCGCTCTCTGCAGGAGCCACTGCAGGGGTCTTCTCTAGACATAGCCCGGCGTCCTGGTACCCTGGAGGAGGTCTATCAGGAGCGTCTGGGCTGCTTAGGTTTGGGGCAGTCCCTTCCCCAGGGGCACTTTCAGGGGAACTCTCCCCAGAACTCTGCGAGGCATCAGCAGCAGGAGGGGGTCGCCCGGCACCCCTGCCCTCAGCACCACCCCGTGGGCACTTCAGTTGGCCCCTGGCTGTGCCCTGCCCGCTCTGGATGCCCAGGATCTGGGCTGGAGGCAGCGCATGAGTGTCCTTGGTACTCTGCTTGCACCGGTTGCCCTCCTGCCAATGCACGGTGCAGAAGGCCTTGGAGTGCACCACTCGGGCCACACCTGGCAGTGGCGTCAGTGTGCAGTTCTCTCCTGGAAAAAGGTGCAGAGTCACCTTCTCCTGCGTCGGTTCTGCACATGAGTCCTGCAGCTGCCGTTCCTCAAGTGTCTTCCGCTGAGTACACTATCAAGGAAGGTATCCCTGGGGCTCAGATCACATCCCCAACCCTGCCCCAGGACTTTCCTAATGCCACCACCAATGTACTTAGTGTCTTCAGGAAATTCACTCCTGATATATGCCTAGGCAATGTACAGGCCAGGAGCCAATCAAGGACATGACAAAGGCTGAGCTACCCTTGGTCACTTTGCTCAACCCGCTGGCGGGAATTCTTTGGCCATGCCCTGTAGGTCAGTCGTAGGCCACTTAAATCATGGAGGGCTGGCTGTGACCAAGTTCTAACACTGCAAAGAGGTCAGAGAGGATGCTCTATACCCAAAACTGAGAAGGCAAAGGGCCCCAGGGGCTGCTTTTTTGTTGGTTTTTCTTAAGAGACAGAGTCTCGTTCTATTGCCTAGAATACAGTGGCACAATCATAGCTCACTGAAGCCTTGGACTGCTCCCAGCCAGGGCCCTGGGTTCCAGTTCTACACCATGTCAGGGCACAGCTGCTATGCCCATGGGTCCCACAGCACTGACAGGTTCCACGAAGCAAGACCCATTTCCAAGCAGCAGATGCTGCAGAGTGTGGAGGGTTTGCTTCAGTAAGAAAAAGATACAATCCTCACTTCATGGAGTGCCCACTTCTGCTTCAAGAATTCAATGAGGCTGGAGACCTTTCGATGTAGCTCCACAATCATCCTACAGAGAAGAGAGACAGGAGGAAGTAAAGCTCTCAGAACAGGGAGGGAACTCTCTGAAGAGCCCTGAGGCTATCTGCAACAAGATGGTGCCAAAAAGGGAAAAGGACTTCAGAAGGGTGTGGGGAGCTGGGTCTGGCTCCTCTTCCTAGATATTACAGCTGCGAGCATTGTAGATTCACATGAAGCTGTAAGAAATAATACAGACAGATCCATGTACCCTTTCCCAGGACAAGGTCTCCACTAGGACATGGGTACTAGTATAGTCCACTGTTCTACTAGCTCCTTCAGGGTTCAAAAAGGGTGGGTCTGAAGAACATTAATAAAAAAAAAACACATAAATGAAAAGAATAAAGCAACGACATATGCTACAATATGGGCAAACCCGAAAAACATCGTGCCCAGAGAAATAAACCAGTCACAGAAAGCATCTGTGTGTGATTCTGTTTCTATGAAATATCTAGAATGGGCAAATCCATTAAGCCAGAAGATAGATGGGTTGGTGCTCGGTGCCGGGGCCTGTGGAAGGGTAAGAATCAAGGATTCCATGCCAATGGGCACAAGGTCTTTTTTGGGGATGATGAAAATGTTCTAGAACTAAATGGATGTGATGGCGCATAACATTGCACATACACTAAATGCCACTGAACTGCACACTTTAAAATGGCTATGGTTCACTTTATGCTATGTGATTTTTACCTCAATTAAAACCGTATAAGTGGAAAATGGTCCATCCCCAAGGTGATGCCCTACACATATATAAGCCACAAATCTCTGGAGAGCTGGCGAGAGGAAGGGTGAGGGCTTTATGCGGGACGAGAGGAAGGCTCTGCAGTCACTTGCCCTCTCACCACGACGGCCTCCCCCAGCTCACACAAAGCCTGGGGATCCTTCTCAGTGCAGAACTGTAGCTCAGTGCTCCCAAGACCCCAGAGTTTGAGCACCCCAATGATAGGGCATCATTCCCACACCCTGTCTTCCTGTGATGTCAGAGCACGGAGATGTACCTGCTTCTCATGGGGGTTCCCTGCCCAGGCAGCTGGAATTGCACTATATGCTGAAGGCCAAGGTACCTGAGGCGCGGGTTCTGGGCGAGGCTCTGTACACGAGCCCAGGCGTGGTTGTTTCGTGGCTGTAGCTCTACAGGGACTTTCAGGGGCAGACGCACTGGCTTCTGGTCCTCTTCGTCACTCAAGCCTATGACAAGGAGGGACTGTGAAAGTCTACTGCAGGCCACGTGTGGTGGCTCACGCCTGTAATCCCAGAACTCTGGTAGGTAGAGGCGAGAGGATTACCTGAGCCCAGGAGTTTGAGACCAATCTGGGCAACTTGGCAAGACCTCCTATCTACAATTTAAAAATATTTAGCTGGGCGTGGTGGCACGTGCTTGTAGTACCAGCTAATTGGAAGTCTGAGGTGGTGGGATCAACTGAGCCAGAGAGGTTGAGGCTGCAGTGAGCTATGATTGTGCCATCGAACTCCAGCCTGGATGACAGAGTGAGACTCTGACTCGAAAAAGAAAAAGAAAAAACCTAGTGTGGACTAACCTTGAGGCAGAAAACAAAGCACACTGCCAGGAAACCAGTGGAATCAGAAAGCTGTGGGCAATCCACCTTGGGGTGGAAGAAAGGATGGCAGAGAAGCCCCAGCAAGTAAGAAATTCCACACAGCTGCTCATGTGCTTCAAAGGCAGAGCCACGGACTGGCCCACAAAGGCCACACGAGACTAGATACTGACAATGGCTGACTGCTCTGTCTGAACGCTGCTGTGGCTCTGAGCTAAACCTGACTTACAAAGAAGACATGGTGCTCTAACAAGGAGCACTTCAAATTCAAGAGCAGTCCATTCCCAGTCCTGGAACTAAGCGGTGACAGACAGAAAGCAACTGCAGCAGCGACATTTCTAGCTCAGCTTGCCTGTCATTAGAAGGGACACGCTGGCCCCTGCCCCATTTACTTACCATCTGGGTCACAGAGCTTCTTCAGGGCCCGGCACATTGGTGCTTTGATCCGCAGGTTCCTGCCTTTGTAACGTACAGTGGTGGCCCTGGGAGAAGAGTTTTGAAGGGACACTGAGGCCTCTGAATGAATGGAAAGGAGGAAGGGCCAGCGTGCCAGGGGAGGGAAGCCCAGCCAAGTGCCCATCTCAGTCTCCAGAACCCACCCAGCCCTCCATGGGGCTCCCATGTTGGCAGACTCAGTGACAGACACAACGTGGTGATTCTGGATAGCCTACTGCTTTTCTGACCCTACCTCACACTCCATGGGGGTGTCTGCTTTTTAAGGAAATGTGCTGTGTTCTCCCGCCTTGGCGACCGGCACAGCACTAGCTGCTGTCCCGTCCCCTGGAAAGCCCCCTACACCTGGAGGCCCTCTGACAGTCACCCTTCTCTCCACCTGCTACAGCTCTCTGTACTCCTCCCCCTCTAGCCCCTCAGAACAAAAACTCAACCCATCTCTATGTGATCTCCGTGTGACCCCAGCCCACCTCTACATGACATCTATGAGGATTCTCAATCTACTTCTATGTGACCTCCTTGCGACCTCTAATTCCATCTCTACGTGACCTCTGAATTCATCTGCCTGTGACCTTTCAATTCACCCCTACGTGGCCTCCATGTGATGTTGCAATCTACCTTTGTGACCTCTCAACCACTATATGACCTGTGTGACCTCTCAACCCACCTCTCTGTGACCTTCACGTGATGTCCCAGTCCACCTCTATGTGACTTCTATGTGATCTCTCAGTCTACCTCTGAGACCTGTGTGGAGGTCACCTCTACATGAACTCTCCATGACTACCTTGCCACATCAGCGCTGTGCCCCAGTCCTGCTGTAAATCACACTGGCAGGACCCAGGGCACTCACAGCCACAGAGCATTGGGTTCCACATTTCCCCCCAACAGCCCATAGGTGGGTCCAGAATCCATCAGCCTGCCCCAAATCTGTTTGCTACAGGTAGATTAGAATTATATAAGTAATTAGTATATAACTGATGAAATGAGTACAAAGGCAACAAGAACAGTTCCTTCTAAAAAATACAGTTAAAACTGGGCATGGTGGTGTGCAGCTGTAGTCCTAGCTATTTGGGAGGCTGAGGCAAGAGGATCTCTTGAGCCTAGGAGTTCAAGACCAGCCTCAGCAGCATAGTGAGACCCAGACTCTAAAAATACTTAAATGAAATTTTAAAAATGCAGCTGAAACGCTTTGGAAATCTTCAATAAAGGTAGGTCAGGTTGGTTGTGGTGGCTCACACCTGTAATTCCAGTGCTTTGGGAGGCCAAAGTGAGAGGATGTTTGAGCCCAGGAGTTCAAGACTAGCCTGGGCAACATAACAAGCCCTCATCTTTACAAAGGAGGTCAAGGCTGCGGTGAACCATAATCCTGCCACTACACTCCTGCCTGGGCAACAGAGTGAGACCCTTACCCCCCCAAATTAAAAAAGGTTGGTTGTTTAAGAAACAGCGGTCATAGTATGTATGGGCAAGACAACTATTAGAGACTGAGGGACCTGGATAGACCTCAAAGTCTTACTGCTTTAGGCCCAGATATCCTCACTCAGCTTTAAAACTGGAGACTATCAGTGACGCATGATGAATGGAGTTTCTGATCTGAGAGAAAAACCACCTAGAATCCCAAGGAGTGAACCCCAGTTGAAGAAAAGGCTTTGGCCAGCTGCCCGGTGGTTGGTGAATGATTGTGGGCTTTCATATTTTACAAAATTTTGCTCAGGGTATGTGCATCTTGTTTTTATGACTTTCTGCTTTAACCTATGTTTTCAGTTAATCAACTCACAGTTGTGAGCCTGTCAGATAAGAGAGTTGCTTTTATGTTTGCCATTTTTTCTAAGAAACAGCAAAAAAAAGTTATAGGAAACATATAGTGTGATTTCACAGATGTGCAAAAAATTATATATTCGTATCTGTACATATCTATATACTTATGCATGTAAATTCCCTAAGGAAAAAAATTCAAAGGATACACATGAAATTATTATAAGTGGCTATTTTTGGCAAAGGGAGTAGGATGGAGTGGTTTAGAGGGTTTTATATATGGTTTGAAAATTTTATAAGAATATATTTATATATGCTTATACAATTTTTTTTTTGATTTGGAGTCTCACTCTTGATGCCCAGGCTGGAGTGCAGTAGCACGTTCACGGCTACCGCTGCCTTGACCTGCTGGGCTTAGGCGATCCTTCTGCCTCAGTCTCCCAAGTAGTTGAAACTACAGATGTACACCACTACATCCGGCTAGTTTTGTGATTTATTGTAGAGATGAGGTCTCACCAAGTTGCCCAGGCTGGTCTCGAACCCGTGGACTCAGGTGATCCTCTCGCCTTGGCCTCCCAAAGTGCTGGGATTACAGGCTGAACCACTGTGCCTAGCCATTTATACAATTTTTAAAACGCTACCCTAACACAATGCTGCCAAAATTAAAAACGCGAACAATAGTTTCAAATAGAATGCCACACAGGAAGAACTCTCTCATGTCAATCCCCCACGGCTTGACTGAAAGAGCAGTCTCAAACTGTGCATGTCTAAAGGGGAGATGGCCAGATCTGGCAGCCTTAGGCAGAAGAAAAGCATGTTGCCACAGTATCCACTTCTCAGGAAACAAAGCTGTGATCCCCTTCTTAAAAGGGAAACACCTCTGATTTCCACATTATGGAGTCCCAACATCCTACACAGTGGATGTCACCATTACTCTTAAGGTTTAAGCAAGTGTTTATAAGGCCAAGCAAACAGTAAAGTCCTGAGGGGAATGGGCAGGAGTAACTGGGAAGTCATTCAGTTCAGAGAGCTCAGGGATTCCTCATGCCATGGCAGCAACAATTCCATCCACCCATCCGTCCATCCACTCACTCATGTCTCCATCTGTCCATCCTCTCACCCATCTTTCCACGTACTGACTGAGTTCCTTCTGCTCTGGGAGTCAAACACAGGACATCAAAGAGCAGAGCGGAGATTTCTAAAGTCTGGTCAAATAGGCAAGATGCCAGGAAGAAAGCTGCCAGGCCCACCCTCTTTCTGCCTCTGTCTAGAAGGCTAATTCAGAGAGGATGAGTCTTCACATAATTTGTTCCACTGAGACAAAACTCTTGAACTACCTTAAACCAGGTGAAATAAAAGGCTAAGTGCCACAGCAGTTTCACTAATGATGTCGGGGTAAGGCTACAGAAGAAGGAACCAGGAGGATCATTTTTAAAGAGTAGTCATTAAGCATGGAGTCAATTCTTAAACAACCTCCTCCAGTGTTGTGCTCTGGAAAAAAATGAACTTTTTCACTCATCGCTTTTTGTACCATTTGTGCAAAACAAAAGAATAGCAGGCAAGGTTTACAAGGCCAGAAAAGCTGTGTCATGTGGCACCTGTGTTTGTGATAATCACAATTTCTGTTAAACTGCTATTTTGTGACTTCCTTTTTTTCCTCTTTCAGTGAAGTTGAGTGCCTCCTTTTTCATTACTAGGTAACCACTCTGATATTACAGTTCTTTTCCTTAGCTCTGAAACATTAAGTTCTACTGACCAGCCTGAGGCTGGGCACTGCAACAAATAAAGTGCCATGTTGAAGTCACAGGCAAGAGGGCCTCTTGGGCCTGGCCACTGTCCCAGGATGTGGGCCACACCTCCCTGCCCTCACACCAGCCCGGGCCGGGACTCCCCCAGAGCACAGGGGCTTAGGAAATGCTGTCTGCGGAGGAATCTTGCCTGCACCTCTGGCTGAGCGAGGTCACACACAGAGGCTCTGCTGGGGCCCCTCTGGGAGCATCGCCTTGGCAAGTGGATCACAGAGAGACGCTGCCATGTGCACACAAGTCTGGCTCTCCCTCTTGATATGAGGGTTATTTCCTTCTCCACAGAGTCACTTGATACATCTAACATGTGCTAAATTCTATGCCTCCAGGTCTGTGAACAATATAAGGTTACATTTTAGTTTGGACCCTTTCTCAATTCATTTCCTTCTTAATTCAGCTTTATAATTCTATAACTGATTCACAGTTAATTGAAAACAGGTCTGCAGGAGAAGCATGGATGGCAGCAAGTCAAATGCTCCAATTGCTTTTGGTCTGAAATCCAATAGTAATCTTCCACAGGCACCTCACTTATTTGTCCCCATCTGTTTCACCTTTACCGGTTGGTTTGTTTGTTCTTTTTTTTTGAGTTGGAGTCTCACTCTGTCGACCAGGCTGGAGTGCAGTAGCACACTCACGGCCACCACAGCCTCGACCTGTTGGGCTCAGGCGATCCTTCTGCCTCAGCCTTCCAGGTAGGTGGAACCACAGGCATGTGACACCCACACCCGGCTGATTTTTAAAAAAAAATTTATTGTAGAGATGAGGTCTTGCCATGTTGCTCAAACGGGTCTCGCACTCCTGAGCTCAGGCAATCCCCTCGCCTCCACCTCCCCAAGTGCTGGGATTACAGGTGTGAGCCACCGCATCTGGCCTTTTGTTTATTCTTAAAAATGAATGTCTATTGGTAAAAGAATGGACCAGAGTGGAAGGTCCAGAAATGGACCATCACAGCAGTCAAGTGATCTTTGAAAAGGGACAAAATCAACTCAATGGAGGAAAGGCAGTGTTTTCAGATGGCACTGGAACAACTCAACACAGAAAATATCAAGTGCTGGGGAGCATGGGGAGCAACCAGAACCCTTACTCTGGAGGAAAGTTTGGCAGGTCCTTGTCACGTGAGACACATGTTCTCTAGCTCCTCCTCCTGGGAACTTAACCAGGTGAAATGAAAACCACGTTCACACAAAAACCTAGGGGCAAAACCTGGTTGCTGATTCACAAATGCTAAAAAACTGTAAAAGACCCAGAGTCCCTCCTCTGGGGAATGGATAACAGACCGGGACGTGGATACCATAGACTGCTCACCCAGCAGTGGAAGGATCCACACAACCACCCAGAAGAACCTCAGGGGCACACTGCTGTGGACGTCCCATCCCCAAACACTAGGTACCACGATTCCATCCATGGCTTCCTGGAAAAGGCAAAGTCTAGGGAATAGAGAGCAACTTGGAGGCTGCCTGAGGCTGGGCGTAGGGGAAGGGCTGACTACAGAGGGGCAGGAGGTATATTTGGGAGACTCAGAACTGTAAGTGAAAGAGGCCAATCTATGAGAGCTACTACAGGATAATTCCAACCAGATGATGACATTCTGGGGTAGGCATCACTATAAAGACAGTAAAAGGTCATTAGTTCCTTGAACAGGGGAGGGAAGATGAACAGGCAGAGCAAGGAATGTTCAAGACACTACTCTGTATGACACTGTAAGGATGGGCATCCATCGTGACACATTTGCCAATCCCATAGAATATACAGCACCAAGAGTGAGTCCCCATGTCCCCTGTGGACTATGGGTGATACTAATGTGTCAGTGGAGGATCATCAGTTGCAATAAGCAGACGGCACCAAGGCAAGGTGTTAATAGCAGGGGAGACTGTGTGTGTGGGGTGGGGGTGGGGCTGGGGGAGATATGGAAACTCTACCCGCTACGTGGTTTTTCTGTAAACCTAAAACTGCTCTAAACAAAGTCTGTTTTTAAAAAATCAAACTTGTAGAACTGTACACCAAGAAGCACAAATTATATACATGAAAATATTAAAACCAAAAAACAGGCCAGGCACAGTGGCTCACACTTTGTGCTTTGGGAGTTTAAGGCAGACGGGTCTCCTGAGCCCAGGATTTGGGCTGCAGTAAGCTATGACTGTACCACTGCCCTCCAGCCTGGGTGACAGAGACCCCATCACTTAAAAAAGAGGTTGTCTGAGAACTCCCCTCCACCAACACACAGACCCCAAATCTTTTCTCCATAGGGAACTCAGCCTCAGCTCTGTACCCCTCTTCCCATACTGTCTCCACCCTCCACCCCTCTAGCTTCTTCCATGGCCCAGCTTCTCCTCCGCATCCTTTGCTCTCTGAACCAGGCGATCCGTACCCCTCTGTGTGACCCTGCTCGCCTCTTTAAGACCTTGGCCTAGGCTGGGTGCAGTGGCTCACTCCTGTAATCCCAGTACTTTGGGAGGCTAAGGCGGGAAGTTTGGTTGAACCCAGGAGTTTGAGACCAGTAAGACTTTGTCTCTACAAAAAATTAAAAAATTAGCTGGGCATAATGGTAAGCGCTTGTAGTACCAGCTACTTGGTAGGCAGAGGCAGAAGGATTGCCTGAGACCAGTAGATTGAGGCTGTGGTGAACCATGATTGTGCCACTGCACTCCAGCCTGGGTAGCAGAAACCCTGATTAAAATAATAATAATAATAATAAAAGACCTTGGCCTAAATGCCAGTGCCCTGGGAAAGCCTTTCCTAGACATAGACACTCCAGGCAGGCTCTTTTCCTGTTACCTGTAGCATCTGCACCTGTCAATTTCATCACAACATTTATTGCAGGTACGGTTAAGTGTCCACCACACACATGCACGCACACACACGGAAAAGACAACCTGCTTAATGGACCTACATCTACAGCTCTGTCGCCACAGCATACCTGGCACCCATTCTTGTGCCAGGTATATACAGGCATGCAAACATTTCTAGAACCAGTGAACACATTACCCAGCAGTCTTTCTGCCTCAGATCTCTCCATGGTTGCAGACAGAAATCTTGCCTTGTTAGTACTGAGCTGTTTCAAATCTTTTTTCCTGTGTCTCAGCACCTTTGTGAAGGACGATGACATGACAGGTGAGATGCTAGGGCCACGATAGCCAGGTGAGCCCCCTACATCAGAGCTGGAGGTGCCTGATGGGTTCCTTAGTGCCTGCCAGCTCACATGCTTTCTGGGCCTCACTAAGTACTCAGCCCAGGTGTCAGTACTGACTTCACCTGTCATTTGCTGAAATCCTTATCTATACTGGCAAACTTTCCATCAGCACCCAGACCTGAGCTGGCGTCTGTTTTCTATGACTACCTTTCTCAGCCTTTTTCAGATATGCACTAGAGTAGGCCAAGTAGGCTACCTGAACACTGGCTTAAGAAAAAGGGCACTAATCTCTCTGTCCTGCCAACACAACCACCCCAGGGCCTGCCCGTGATGTCATTTTACTTGGTGGACGACGGCAGTCAACACCCAGCCAGGACGGCCACTTGCCCAGCATTTACCAACAAGAGGCCTGGAGGTCCAGGGAAATATGCCAGGCCGCATCTCCAAATCCTGTGAGATTCTCATGGAGTCATGGGGGCACATCTGTAAAAAGAGCACTACAAATGGTGCCTAGGCTCATGACATGTTTCTATGCTGTCTACACATCTGCTGCTCGGGAGGACTGAGGACACGGCTAAGACCCACACCTGCTCCTGGCCCGTCACTGAGCTGAGCCACCTGGGGTCCCTCACAGACCAGAGGTGCTTCCTCTCTCCCTCTTCAGCATTTCCAGGACTCCTGTGAGCCATAACCCTGCTGTCATGCAGGACGCTACCATCTAGCACAGTTGTAATTAAAGCTCCCAGTTGTCCCTAGAATACCCTTTATAACTATTTCCTTCTTTCCTTTAATTTTATTTTCTTTGAAGACCCTTAACTACATTTGGCTGTCACATGTCTTCAGTCCCTTTGAGTTGAGAGAAAGCCCCTCAGTTTGGGTCTGATCGTTTCCATGCTTTTTAAACAAGCTTTTCTGAGAACTGTGTGGCGGGAGGGCAGTGCGAGTCTGCGCTACAGCAAGAGGAACATACATTGGCCCCACCACCCTGTACACCCAGCCACCCTGAACACTGGACCACTCTGAGCTATGTCCTCAAGCACAAAGCAAAGAGCCTGGAATACTGGCTTCACTCAGGGAATTCGAGAAGCTGGAATACAAGGTAAAGTGAAGTGAAGTTTGCTCCAGATGGGATCTTGGGGCAGTGTTCTCCCTCACAGGGCAGCCTCTCACTGCTGGTCAGAAGGTGACACCAGAAACATGTCAGCCCCAGCTTGGTGGCTTTCTCAAGAAATTCCTCCGATGTGCAGATGCTGCTCAGGATAGCTCAGACCCTGTAGCAAATGCCACCTCCACCTGACTGACGGAGGGAGAGCAGGGGTGAGGGGGAAGAAAGGAGGGCCACTGGGTCATGGCAACCCTAAGCACGGCTGACAGACCCTCTTCCGGTGGCCTCTGACTGTGTCCTAGACATGTTCCAAAGTCCTGTTCAATGCTTTAGGCTACCTGTGCTCTCTGGTGGCCATGGTGAATCACAGCTGTTTCCAATGCAGTGACACCCACAACCTAGTTACTGTCCCATCTGGCTCCAAGTTGGTGACAACTCATATAAAGTTCAGAATCACCTGGGACACCTGCTGTGCTAAGACCAGAGGGGAGAGGCAGCGCCAGCCCTGTAGGGAGCCACATGCGACATGGAGGGCTCACAGGGGATCAGAGGCCAGACCTGTGGGAAGGGCTGAGGGGGAAAAGTGACCAGAGGTGAGGAGGGCAAAGTGTGGATGAAGAGGCGGGTCAGGGCTACTCCAGGGGTACTTTTAACAGCAGTGCCCTGGGATGTGAGTGGTACCTCCATGACAAGCAGCAGAACCCACCGGACAGTCCAAACATCAGGTTCAGCAAATAGGGAACAGCTGGCTTGGCTGCCGTGGAAGCTCTGGAGCAGTCAGTGGGGGAAATGCATCAGGGACGAGCGGCCCCCAATGAGTACCCTAGGCCAGGTGAGAAACTCACACAGGCTCACATAGGCAGGATCCCCAGACTGCGGAATAGGGTGGTGGGCCCCGCCCTGGAAGGCAGTCCAGCAGCAGAGCAGTCCTACAGGCTGAAGTGGGACATGGGCAGAATCAGACAGGCCATCTGCAAAGCTTCCATCACCTGGGGGAAGCAAGGGGGCCAAGCAGGACACACCTAGAGTGTAGGGTCAGGGGTGGGAAAGCAGAGGCTACCTGGTGGGACACAGGAGCCCAGGAGCCCCAGATGCAACAGTATTGGTTTGCAGAGGTGTAGACTAAGCCCGCCATGGAACCTCCACCTGAGAAGGCGAAAGAGGCCCTGGGAAGAGTAAACAGCAGAGAGGGTACAGAGACAAGACTGCTGAAGACGACAATGGGACAGCTGAAAGAGGGTGTAGGGCGGTGACAGAAGAGGAGAGAAGCTCAGAGTGCAGACATCTCACAGGAGCCTGGCGCCAACCCAAAAGATTATCAGCAAAGCAGGCCAAGGCGCCTTGCAGGTCCACTCCACACCCCACAAGTGGGTGACTGTGTGGGTGGGGAATCCGCCCTGCATGCTCCCGCACAGGTGCCATCTCTGAGCAGAAACTGTCGAGAGTAGTCAGGGCTGCACAGACGCTGACTGGTGATGGGGGGCCCAATGTTTTTGCGGACAGGAGAATATGTGTGCTCTGAGGGGGTCAGGAGGGCAAGGGGAAAGGGACGCCCATTGGAGACTGAGCGACAGCCCCAGGGGTGGGAGCATTAGGGGCACAGGAAGAGCTATCACAAGGGGTCCGATAGGACACAACACAACCACAACTGGAAGGGGGTCTCCAGTAAGGGCATCAACACTACTATGTACACAAAGTGGGAGCGGGGAGAAGGGCATGAGGAGCAAGACCCCAAGGGCCGTGTCAAGACCACAACCACTGCAGGCCTGAAGAGGAGGGAACATGGGCTCTGGGCAGTCTCTGCATCCGGGCCGATCTCCTTCTGTCGGGACAAACAGAACATATAACTAAGGGGACATGAAATTTTAATTCTGAGGGTCCTTGCTGAGAAAAGGGAAGAAAACTACACACACTTCAGCTTCTGTACTTCAGAGGATGAATGCAAACCTCCAAAGGAATAAGCGACGCTTCGTGACAACTGACTTACCCAACCTGAATGAGTTCGTTCAGCTTTGTTGCATTCTTGTCATCCATACCTTCAAATGGAAAACAAATACATGAGATCCTGGGGCAGTTAGGAATAAAACCATTAAAGACTCCCATTTAATTATTTTGTTTGTTTGGGGTTTTTTGTTTGTTTGTTTGTTTCGAGCTTGGCCTATGCTGAAGTTCAGTGGCATGACAAAGGCTCACTGCAGTCTCGACCTCCTGGGTTCAGGCAAACCTCCTGTCTCAGTCTCCTGAGTGCTGGGACTACAGGTGCACACCACCACACCCAACTCATTTTTTTCTTGTAGTGTCACAGTCTTGCCAAGTTGTTCAGCCTGGTCTCAAACTCCTAGGCTCAAGCAATCCTCCTGCCTTCTGTCTCCTAAAGTACTGGGGCTACAGGGGTGAGCTACCACACCTGGCCCATATAATTATCTTCAATACAGACTCCAAATCCCATTACTGAATACTGAAGGTCTTCTAGGATAACACTCTACAGTAGCTGCAGCCCCTCCTCCAAAATCATACCCAAGAGTCAGCCAGTCACATCAGCTCACCGGGAAAGAACCTGCTCATCCCCTACCAGCCACTTTCTCAAGCAGGTCCACAATACTGCCCCGTCCCCCCCCCAGATCCCCCCCTTGGCTGAACTACTCATCCCTAACCACCTGGTTCAGATGACTCTGCTTCCTCCGGTACCACACTTGCCCTGCACATACTTTCTGCCAGGCTCTGTACTAGACAATGTCCTGTGTTGGCCTCTGGGCCCTCAGGAGCTGCAGAATGCTGAACCCGACACCCCCCATACTGATCAGAGCAGACGCCCATCCAGGACTTATGGCTATCTTCAAGATATACAAGAAGCAAGCAGAGTAAAAAGTTAATGAAAGAATCTGGATGGGGGGGCTGCTCATTGTCAAATTCTTTAAATTCCTCTGATGTCTTGGGGGGAAACCCCACACACACACAGCCAAACTACAAACCAAAATCACACACAAAATAATAAAGGCAGCCAGAGACAAATAATGCCTCTCACACAGAGAAGCAAGGACACGGATGGCCACTGATGCCTCATCAGAAGCAGTACAGGCCAGAGACTATGGACAACAGCTTGAAGGGACAAAAGAAAGAACTCATCAAATCCGAATTCTACACCCAGCAAATATATCTTTTAAGAGCAAAGACTTTTCAGATAAATAAAAACCAAAAGAACTCACAGGTGGCACAATGGCATGACAAGAAATAAAGGGTATTTTTCAGGATGAAGGGCTTAATAGAAACAAACTGTCAGGAAAGAATGAAAAGCACCAGAAAGGGCCAACATGTGGACACACCCATCACCAAAGGGCTTGGACATTGCCCAGCCCTCTGCTAGATTCAGCTGAGGCCACTTGTTGGAGCCTGTCATGGCCTGCAGGTTCTGGTTGCCAGATGAGGTACTGAACAGAGAACCACCCACCCTGTGGACAAGATGGTGAGGACCAGAAGCAGTCATGGAACTGGCCATGCATGGCATACTACACGGCTGCTGCTCTCATCTCATCCATTCCAGGGTGAAGGTCAGCACCCCAGCACTTGCCAAATATATCACTATTTCCATCAGACCTGGGTACCCTCAAGTCCCACTCTGACTGGGGATAACACCAGCCTGTGCAGAAGCTATGGCTCACCTGACACAGGCAGCATGTGTGAAAGCCCCAAGAACAGAGCAGAGCCTTGTCTGCTATCTCAGGATTCACATTTTTCAGAAGACCTCAGGTAGATCACGACACATTAAGAGTATGCTCCAGCCGGGCTTGGTGGCTCAGCCTGTAATCCTGCGCTTTGGGAGGCTGAGATGAGTTGGATTGCCTGAGTCCGCGGGTTCGAGACCCGCCTGGGCAACTTGGCGAGACCTCATCTCTACAATAAATCAAAGAATCAGCCGGACGTGGTAGCACATGCCTGTAGTTCCGGCTACTTGGAAGGCTGAGGCAGAAGGATCGCCGGAGCCCAGCAGGTTGAGGCTGC